GAAGGCTTTTCAGCGCCAATTACAAACGTTACTAATCAATCAACCAAAACGGAGTTAGGATGTTCAAGATGTTGGGAAGATTGATTATCCATCAGGTAATGCTGAAGATTAAAAAGTCAATATGCGCCTTAGTAGTTCATTAGTACTAAATCCTAAATTTGTTGTAACCGTGTCCTTCATTTCTTTACACAACAACAGGGCGAAAAGTGATCAAATACCGTGGGAGACGCTGTGTGATTAGAACGAAGAGAAGATATACCATTCGCATTGGTAGGAAAAAGAAAGTCATCCGAAGATATAAACGCAAAATCAGATTGTTTTTATTAAGGAAGTACAGAAAAATAAAGCGATCCTACCGTGGATGGCGCGTGCGGATTAAGAGACGTTGGTGTCGACTGAAGAGACGGAGGAAACGCTGGTTCTATAAGCGGGGTCGACGTTGGAGAAAGATAAAGCGCATCAGGCTGACCTGTCGTATTGGAGGTAGAAGGCGGCCAGTGAGACTCAGACGAGGGAAATGGTTTATACGTTTGAGAAACAGGTGGAAAAAAATCAAACGCCGCGTTGTAAGGTACATTAAGTACAGAAGAAAGATACGCATTTTGAGAAGAGCAAGAAAGGGCTACCGCGTTCAGAAAAGAAATGGCAGATATGGCAAAGCGAGACGCATCAGGATAAAGATATACCGGCGTCGTCGTCGAAGACGTGAGTATCTTAAAACATGAGATAATCAGTCAGGTATGGTAACGCCTGACAAAATTTGCTACACATAAATCAGTCATTTGAGTTGCGTTGTTTGTTAGGAGTAAGTTATCTGTAATCTGCAGTTCGAAAATAAAACTCAACTTGTTTTCTAATTGAGTGTTATTAAAATACATTTCACAGGAAGATAACACGAAAAATTGTTTAAGTTGGACTTACGCCGAGATTGTTTTTTGATTTACAGGGTATCTAAGAGTGAGGGTAGAAAGTCAAGGTTTTGTTGATAAGAAGCGCGGACGTCCTTTGTATGGACGCTCGCG